TGAACTTCTCCATAGTTAAATCCTGTAACTTGACAAAGGTACCCTTGGGCTTCTCTTTTTATACCCGACCTGTGATAGTAGAGGAGCATTGTGTTTTTTGGTCTTTGCATAGTTTGAACATCCATCCTCCATCAGGAGAAAGTTTTGGTTTAGAGAAGTCAAAGTTTTAATTTCAGGTAGTTTGTGGTCGCATCAACTTGTAACTTAGTACACATGGTCATAACGAAATGAACTGTTTGATATACTAGTATATGCCAAATTGGGTCTTGAACCAGATTTTAAGGTTCCCTTTACATGGAAACTGAGCTGGGCATGGAAACAAAGTCTTGTTTTTTTAAGTTTACAAAGAAGCTGCAAAAAGTATCCTTCCTTAGATATTAAGTTTTTTACTAGGCATGCTTAACCTATCAAGCTTCACTTAGTCTTTGGTTTGTCCATTTATATATTAAGTATGACTGATAAAATTTACATATAAAGCTGGCTGCTCTTCAGGATGAAGAGTTTGATGAAATGTTAAAGTAAATGTGCTGGCTTCCTTTGGTTTTGTTGCTGTTTTTAGTTTAAATGTTTTTCCAAAATGAAGTTGCAGAGGCAAGACCTAAGGCTTGCTGTTTGCTGTAGGGGTTTTAACAATTTGTAAAGTTTGTAATTGGTGATTTTAAAGTGGTATATCAATGATATTTCGTATGCAGTTCTAACAGAATTGGGACATTTCATTTCCATGAAGATTAGTTTGTCCTGCCCTGATCATTGACTTTGAAACCTTTGATTAGTTTAATTATGTTAAAATTTGTGATTAGTTCAGTTGAAAGGAAACTACTGTAACGTATGATAAGTCAATGATATTTAGTATGCAGTTGTATTAGCTTGGCATATCTCATTTCTATGAAGATTGTTTGGCCCTACACCTGTAGGCATGGTTCATTGACTTTGAATTTTTTGCATAGTTTACATGTTGAAATGTTGCCATTTTAATTTAAACATGTGCATTTTACTATCAAAACTACATGCAGTCTAGACGTATATCTGTGTCAATAGTTTAAATTCATCAGATTCACGATGTAGTCGACAAAATATACTGTGTATGCACATGTATGCCGTGTTGTATACATATCATTTACAAAATATGAAAAAAAGTTCATTCATATTCATGACATGACTAGATAGAACATGCAACTGTATTTAATTATTTAGAGAACAAACAAAACTGTCAGTAAATACTCTTTTGAGGTGTAGATTTCCTTTGAAACCAAAGGAAAAAGGTAATGTGACTTCCCTGTTGATATAAGACTTAGTTTTGTAGATTAAATGTGTCAAAATACAATCATAAGGATCAAGTTCAATAAACAGTTATACAGAGATAACTGACCAGTGGCAAAAAAATTAAAACCCTGTCACTGGCTAAAATGTACTAATGTGAAAAAGTTAGAGATTAAATCTTTTTAACTACTGTTCTATATCTGAGGACCATAAAAGAAAGTGAACTTTAACATTGTTGTTTACACACACCTAATATAGAATGTCAGAAGTTCTGTTATTGATACTGCCTAAGCACGCTTTTATCTTTACAAAAACGGTATTTTAAAAATTTGAAATGGCTTTGCATCAAAATGTCATTTATTAAAAAAATATTAAACACACCTTTAAAATACAATATGTGACATGTTTGTAATTAGAATAACAAATTAAATCTAAATACACAAGACATATATAAATATAACCTAGTGTAGTTTTTCCTAAATTGGGATCATTAGCTGAATACACAATGAATTTTGAATAGCTATTTTCACATTTTATAAGCCATTTTTGTCCAGCCTGCAAAATTTATTTGACGAAAGCTAGACATAGCGATCCTAGATTCCGGTGGCGTCGGCTGCTGCATCAGCGTCAGCATCATCAACATTTAGGTTCAGACTTTGGTTAAAGTTTATGAAATTTGGACAGAAGCTTGTTTATGACCAAAATACAGTATTCAGAGCAAAATTTTGAAAATATTTATTTTCATTTCTCCGTATTTTACTAATAAATGGACTTTGTTTTTTTTACATTTAACATTCAGATTTAGTATGAGGTTAAAGTTTTTCATCAATGACTTTGTCAAACCTTCATGGAATTTTAGGAAATTTGAACAGAAGCTTAGTTATGACCAATATACAGTATTTACATCAAAATTTTGAAAAAAAATATTTTCATTTTTTTGTTTTTAACTGATAAATGGACTTAATTTTTTTTTACAGTTAACAAATAGATACAGTCTGGATGTCAAAAAGTTTGAATTCTTCTTTTCATTTCTGAACTGATTAATGGACTCACTTTTTAAGTCAACATTACACTTTTACACTGATAGCAGCAATCGCAGGCCAGACACAGGGTTCCGCGGAACCCCTTATGAATTTTTTGTATTAATATGTATTTGACTTCGTTGTTTGATTTTATATGATAAGTACATGTACAAATAGTTTAATTGTAAAGCTTCAGATAGATACTGACCATTTTGAATTAAGACAGAATCAATCAAATGTATAATAATAAGGAGATGTGGTATGATGTGGTATGATTGCAAATGAGACAACTATCCACCAGAGTTGAAATGAAGTGGATTTTAGCAACCGTACAACCTTCAACAATGAGAAAAACCCATACCATATAGTAGGCTATAAAAGGCCCTGACATGAAAAATGTGTAACAATTGAAATGAGAAAACTACGTCTTATTTATAACAAAACAATTTATGAAAAACAAATATGACAGACTTGAGCCAACTGCAGTCACTGATTGTCATGTTTATGCTAGCTATGTGATAATCAAGCTGAAATTATCAATAGCATACGTCCAATTAATATAGATGAGAAGAGAAATACCATATTTTTAATATGATTCATACAGGTTTTTTATGGTTACTGTTGTTGAGGCCAAGAACCTATGGGTATGTTGTTGACCAAAGACTATAGGGTGCATTCAATAACAATGTTTTATTCGTTTATCACATTTTCTATGAAATGACTATGTAATCATATTTTCTTTTACTTTATAAGTGAGATAGATACTCATTATAGATATGAAACAAGTTTTAGCTCAGATGCTACAGGACTGTCAAATTCAACCTAATTCTCATAAGTACAATCACATCAGATATATAGATAGATATTTTGTTGTGACATAGCCAATCAATATGTCATTTTCTAACTCATTACTTCTAAGCCAAATCCAAAACAGCTTTTAAATTACCGGGGTCAGAAAAAACTGAATGACTGTACAAGTCTTACAGGGATTAAATGCTACTGAGCTGAGTATTTTGATCTTGTATAAAATCTTTTCTGTTTGATAATCTTGAAATACTAAATGGTTAAAATTACATTTATAGTAGTTTTTGAACAAGCGTGAAATTTTATCCTGCTTGTCGTAAATTTAAATGGTTCATCTTGACATTTTAAAGTGCTGTGACATTTTTGTTTAGATGTCCTCTGATGAGAATGTTGGCCCAATGCCCTATGTTATAAAAAACATTTAAAGTTGAATTTCAGAGCTTGCCAATGCTATACAATACTGTTTACCAGTGAAGGTATATAAAGGTATACTTAGGTTCACTATGAGGTCTCATCAGTAATATACACCAGTCATCTCATTTCTGTCTATGACTACATACAATGACACTGTTTATTGCTATCTTTTAGATAACAATAATGTTAATTGTTTCTCAAAAAATTGCACTTAAAATTCACTGCTAGTTAAAAATCCTTCAGTGGAAATTAAACTGTACTTAGATGTTACAAGTTGAGGTTTCTTCTAGATCTATAGACCATATCTCTATTAGGGATACCGTGACAGTTGACCTGAGATTTTGCTACACTTGACATATTGACATGCAACAATTAATTTTTCATTGTGGCATCATACATTTTCTCTTACAACATCAAATTTTATAGGAAAGTCTGTGAAATCCTGTAATGGGGGACAAATTAATAGTGATAAGAGTGATGTCTTTGTTTCTATTTTTTATATTTTTAAACAACATATCCATTTTTGAATGAACCCAAGCTCTTTAAAATGGATAAAAGGAACAGTAACTTTGTAGTCACTGAAAATGTCTGCAAAACAGAAAGTTTAAAAGCAAAAATATCTATGCCTTCATTATCCTTTAAAAATAAAAATCTGATGCATTGTATTTGAACTTTGAACAGAAAGGATATAGGCTGAATGTATATCATGTATATAAGGCAAAAGTCCCTTAAAATTTCAAATTGCTGTTCTTCATCATGAGAGTTTTAGAAGTCTTCAGTGAGGAAATAAAAAAGCCTCACACCTTACAGAAAGAAAAGACAGCTTCAGAGGTTGACAAATGGTACTCTCTGATATTAATTGATAACCATGTGCACAATTGATAGATATAATGTTTGTAAAGAACTGAATTTAATTTCATTTTTTATACATTGCAGTTGTAAATTAATGGTCTTGCATCATAACATCTTATTTTGCTTGTAGGCAAATTTCTACATAATAATCTCAAGTATGCATTTTCTCGTGGTTGCCTGAGGGGAAGCTTGTTAATTATATGCAAAGTGCAGTAAAATTACCATGTTTAGTAAGATAAAAGTTTAAAGTACATTGTTATATATATAGATGAGTAATAGAAAGAGTACTGATATAAAGGGGTCTCAAAACACAATAGTTCCAATGGAGCTTTAGTTTGTTGAAGCCATATTAACTATGTGTATCAGCGGAAAAAAATCATGACAAAGAAAAAGTTGGTAATGTCGAAACACAGAAACACATAATTAATAGCGCATGGTGATGATTACAGGAACATTTTATTATGTGTTTCGACAATACATACTTTTTAAATTGTTACATCTATTTCTGCATTTTTTTTCTAAGCAGTGAACATTATTCATTGTCTTTGGATGATTGATTTTATAATCATTCCCTTATATTATTTTGTTAATTATTTGAACACTTGAATTAAAACCCTTTGGTTACTTATTGTCGTCCTTATTTTGTAGGGCAAACACAGCAGAATGAAGAACACCTTGTAAAAACAGGTTCAGTATACAATTATACAGTTAAATGTTTTATTTTGAGTGCTCCTGATGAAGAGAAATCCCAAAAGTGCCTTAGATGTACAAAATTTATAATGTGTTATTCTCATTCATAAGACTTTTATTTGTGGGTGTATACTTACACGATTTGGAGATATATTATTCTTTAGTACAAATATTTTTTAATTCTTGGTTTAAAACATCACATAACTCAAGAGAAAATATGTCTTTGTTTTAGAATGAAAAATGAAGTTTGAATGAATCATAAAATGTACAAAAATGGATACCTCATGAATAATTGTACTTCCACAATTTGGGCTCAGGATGGAAAAAAATAATGATATCAAAGGGGGCAAAAAAAATCAGCAAAAAGGACAGGCAATCACCATGGACAAATGAAAAAATACTGAAGTAAAAAAAAACAACAAAATTTGTAACTTTATTAAACATGTTGATGATAAATGCTTTTATATTTTCAGTTGAACTTGATTTTGATCCAGTCACAAAGCAAGTATAATTCTTTATAAAATAATCAGTACAATGAATGCTACATCGAAATAGTGATCTGTGGATCTGATATTTGGCTTGGTTGCAAGAGATGCAATTAGGCTTCTAGTATGGTGAATGTTGGGAGGGTGGGTGGAAGATGTGCACTCATTTGAGTATTTTAAAAGTTTTCTAGTATGAGTTGATGAAATAAATAAATCTTCAGCAGTATTCTCAGTGTAGTTAACCATTAAAGTTTTTACTGTTGTTCTATTTTATCTTAGTTTTGTTAATATTAAGAAATTAGTAAATAGCATGTTTCAAATTTAGTATTCAAATGAATACTGCCTAAAACATATGGAATAATAGTGTCATGACCATTTATATGGCTTTTCGATTAAAATCAAGCATTGTAAACATTTGTGGTGAAATTGGCCTCAAAAACTAAACGCATTTTAAACTATCCCTAATTTGCAAAATCAATGTTCAATTTATGTGTTTTAATCAAACATTTAAATTTTGATGTAAAATGTACCCTTTTCAAAAAATGACTGGTTTATTAAGTATAAATTAGCTGAATTTTGCAAAATCTTGACTATATCAACAGAAAAAGTTTAACAATAATGTAGAGCACAAACATCGCTTAAAACATTTTTACACTGGAAGTGTAATTTGTAGTTATCTCTTTACTTGCGCATGTACTAATTGTTAATTGGCTAAAATGTTAAGAAATTAGCCTTTTTTATGCCACTGTCGTAGCGGTAGTCCGTTGGTACATCCATACGTCCACCTGTATGTCCCAAAATTGGTTTCGGTTCTCTAACTTTAGTTTGCCTCAACCAAATGTTGAGATACTTATACATAATGCTTATTACCACAAATAAAATTTAGAATGGAAATAGGGAATATGTCAGAGACAACAACCCGACCAAAGAGCAGACAACATCCGAAGACCACCAATGGGTCTTCAACGCAGCGAGAAAATCTCGCACCCGGAGGTGGTCCTCAGCTGGCCCCTAAATAAAATTGTGTACTAGTTCAGTGAAAATGGACGTCACACTAAACTCCAAAACATATAAATGAACTAAAATTAAAAAACATACAAGACTAACAAAGGCCAGAGGCTCCTGACTTGGGACAGGTGCAAAAATGGGGTTAAACATGTTTTGTGAGATCTCAATCCTCCCCCTATACCTCTAGCCAATGTAGAATAAAGAAACACATAGCAATACGCACAGTAAAAATTCAGTTTAAAAGAAAACACAGATCAAGTTTGAATTTTGGTGGCATCATTTTTAATGTTCTAGAGTTATGCCCCTTTACAAATGGAAAAAATTGCTTGATTTTTTCGTTTCCGTTCTCTAACTTAAGTTTGCCTCAACCAAATGCTATGAAACTTATACACAATGCTTATTACCACAAACACAGATCAAGTATGAATTTTGGTGGCGTCACTTTTACTGTTCTAGAGTTATGCCCCTTTACCAATGGCAAAATTGCTGAATGTTTTGTTTCTGTTCTTTAACTTAAGTTTGCCGCAACCAAATGTTATGAAACTTGTACGCAATGCTTATTACCACAAAACTCAGATCAAGTATGAATTTGGGTAGTGTCACTTTTACTGTTCTAGAGATATGTCCCTTTATAGTGTTATTATTATATGCAAGCGGGTGCATCATTTGTGTCCCATGGACACATTCCCCATTTATTTTTAATAAATTGACAAATCTCATTGATGTCCACTGTCCATGGTATATTTACATTTTCTGAATGTCTTTCTTCTGAAGTTTAAAAAATGTAACCAGTAATGGTATTGTACATATTTTTATTTTTAGGCAGTTAAGCTGCCTTATGCGAGCACCCTAGATTTGTGTTCTACCCAATAAATGCTGAAATACGTGCCATTGTTATTATCTAGCTGGCTATTATGTTATTTATTACTAATTGGACATTTTATTAATACTTTTATTTCTGGAATACAAAAAATATGACCAGAAAAACCTTAAATGATCGTCGAACTACCCAAAACTTTTGAAGTTGCACATAGGAAGTAGTGCTCAAGAGAAATCCGTAGGTAGTTTATTATCCCCTGTGCTTTTGGCTACGATGTCAAAGAACAATTGTATGAAATATTTCATCGCCGAAAATCGGTAATTACAAGTCGTTGATATTTTCCAAATGGCAAAATACGCAGGAATATTGCTCATGTACAACAAATCTCTATGATAGAGGAAATAAAGTTATATAAGTGGGCGGTAATTTTTAACTTATCTTGCCAAATAAGGTTGTTATTTTATGAATGAAACGAGGTCATGAAACAGATGCGGAAATCGACGTTGATGGGATGTTTTAAGTAATGTGGACAACTCGTCCCCGAGACAAGTCGGACCGTATCCACTCAACCCGTCTAAGAAGACAAATTTGACCGTTTGTCAGATTTACTTAGGGTTTCATAAAATATTAGACTAACATGTCTAGCGGAGCCATTATTCTTTTATTTGTGCATTGGGGTCTATTTAGGGGTATTTGGAGGGGCCTGAAGAAGGGAGGGGTTTACTATAGAACCTATGGGATTTAATTTTTTTGAAATTTTCAAATGACTATTTCTCGAAAACAGTAAGTGATAGACACATGCAGTCTTCAGTAATGAGAACAGGACAATGAAAAAAATCAACCAAAATATAGGGTGAGTCCCTGGGGGTCATACCAACCCCCTTCAATTTGAAAATGTACTTTTATCATGTAAACCGTCGCGATCCCCACACCTAAACAATATATATACTTGTATGGGACAATATAAGAAATCAAATGAAAATAATTTGGGGGAGTCCCCGGTGTCGTTCCACCCCCTCCTGATTGAGAACTTGGAAATGGTCGAGATCCCCACCCCTAAACCATATATATTCATGTATGGGATAATAAAACAAATCAAATGAAATATAGGGGGAGTCACTGGGGTCACCCCACCCCCTCCTGTTTTAGAACTTGTAAACGGTCGAGATATCTACCCCTAAACCATATACATTCATGTATGGGACAATAAAACAAATCAAATGAAATATAGGGGGAGTCCCTGGGGACACCCACCCTCTCCTGTTTGAGAACTTGTAAACAGTCAAGATCCCCACCCCTAAACCATATATTTTCATATATGGGCCAATATAACAAATCAAATGAAATATAGGGAGAGTCCATGGGGTCACCCCACCCCCTCCTGTTTGAGAACTTGTAAACGGTCGAGATCCCTACCCCTAAACCATATACATTCATGTATGGGACAATAAAACAAATTAAATGAAATATAGGGGCAGTCCCTGGGGACACCCACCCCCTCCTGTTTGAGAACTTGTAAACAGTCAAGATCCCCACCCCTAAACCATATATATTCATGTATGGGACAATATAACAAATAAAATGAAATATAGGGGGAGTCCCTGGGGTCACCCCACCCCATCCTGTTTGAGAACTTGTAAACGGTCGAGATACCCACCCCTAAACCATATTTATTCCTGTTCATCATTTCAAAAAGATTTGAATGACATACAGGGTCAATCTCCTAGGTGTCACATATGCATATCACTTTACTAGACCAAACCAATATGAACTGGACTTTGCCCAATGTCAGGAGACCATGGGAATGGCGAATTATGGGGCTTTGTTTGGGAGACTTCGCAACGGCATCCTGTTACAATTATTTCTTGTTTATTATAAAATTTTATTGATGCAAGAAATGAGTCTAGGTTAATTGAATTTACTTTAATTATTTATTAAATTATTTCTGGGCCTATAATAATTTTCATTTATGGCTCATTTAAAAAAAAACAACATATAAATCTTTCAATCTTTTGGGGGTGAAGATGGGGGTCATTTACATTGATATATGAGTTGCTTTTGAAAACCTTGATGAAATATTAATTAATTTGCCTTAATAGTCAATTCATTTAATGAACATAAATGTACAATATACGAATGTTTAATGTTTGTTCTTTCAAATTAAAAAAAAAAATTGAAGCAACACTGCCACAGTTTTCATTATTACGTTTGCCTTGGTTTTTGGTTAACTGCCTACAGCGCTTACAGTGCTTTGATTTGTTGAAAATACAGGACTAAATAAACCCCAAAATTTACCTTCTCGTTATTACAGTACACCTACCTTTTGCATATATTTAAGGATCAATATAAACTTATGCCAACTGAAATAATAATATTGCAAATAAGGAATTAAAGCGAAACAAGAAATGTTTTTCTATTGTTTATATAAAGTTTAACAAAAGACAATGGTTTATTGTTGTAGAACTATTACAAAAGATAAAAAATCTAGCAGGGAATCAAAGAAAACAGAAATCCCACCAGAGTTTATCATCAAACCCAGGAGACAGTTTGTTAATGAAGATCAAAGTGCAAAGTTCAAAGCATCATATGAAGGTTCATTATCAACTGTTCTTACTTGGAGTAAAGATGGAACAGTTTTACACTCCAGTAGGAAAAATAAGGTATTGTTTTATAGCATGAGATGGTCATTTGTTTGATTTGGGGAAAAAAAATAAAACAAAATAGTCCAAAAAAAATGAGATAAGCATTTCTAATAATATTATGTGAACATAATTATATGATGAAGGCCGTACTTTGACCTATAATTGTTTACTTTTACAATTGTGACTTGGATGGAGAGTTGTCTCATTGGCACTCATACCACATCTTCTTATATCTATGTTCTTGATAGACTGAGCGTTTCTGTCAGTTTCTTTTAGCAAGGTTTGTCTCTGAAAGATAAATGATTTAAATCATCATGTCGTAACAGTCTTGAGAGGTACACAGTCATGATTTAACACCAAACCTCAAGTAAAGCAATGTATTATGATTTTTCAGATTTACACTGATGGAGTTCTGCATATTTTAGAGGTGAAAAAGGTTTTACCAAAAGATGGAGGCATTTACACCTGTACTATATGTAATTCTGCAGGTACAGCTGAAACAACTGCAGAATTGGAGGTTTACAGTGAGTACAGTGAGTATATATCTGAAGGGCAATTGTATAAATAAGAGATGTATTTATATATTTGTTGCATTAATAACTCTTCAATATATAATATTGTTTTATTTCTGTGCATATGCATTTTTATTCAAAGTTCTTTATTTTTATAGGCCAACCACCAAAATCACAGAAAAAAGTTTATGTTGCGCCGTCTGTTGATAGGCCACTCAGCGACGTAACAGTTTTGCCTGGAGACAAAAATGTTGTATTGGAGTGTAAATTTTCTAGTAAGTCTGTTATTTTTTTATTGTATGGTTGCACATGTGTAATAGAATATGTATTTTGGAGATCTGATGAAGATATTAAATCAATATAGATTTTGATCTTAATTGAAATGCAGAGGTTTTCTATATAGAGGTGCAATAAGCATGAAAATGCATATAATTACTCTTACACATGAATCATGTTTCAAGTTCTTTCTTTGATTGTGAATAAATCTGCATGCAAAGGGAATACTCATACTTTCGATTTTTTTTTTCATGATTAATTATCACAACAGATTGTGGAAAACTGTGTATTTTCTTGGGTTCTGAATTTCCTTTTCTTTAACTGATTCTACATACAAGTTGAACACTTTAATTCACGGTTCTCCAATTCCAAGGAAATCCATGAAAATTGTTACAAAACATATCCCAAGAATAATATTGAAATCCCTGTAGATGTTACATTTTGCAATGGGTAACCAATGAAAAAATACATGTATAATGCATTTTTAAAAAAAACGTTACTTTTCACAAAACAATAAGATTGAACTTGGTTTATAATTTAACATTTTAATGTGATTATCATGTTGTGTTTCTTTATTCAGATGCAATAGATTCTATAGTATGCTGGTATAAGAATGGTCAACCATTGCATAAATCACTTTTAAATAAGCAGATATTTGATGGCAGGCTATCTAAACTTATATTAACAACAATAACAGACAGTCATAGTGGATTATATGAATGTGCCTCAGCCAACACAGGAGGGGAAGTTAGAAGTTGTTGTAGAGTAGCTGTTATGGGTATGTGTTACAAGTATGAAAATAAGTAGATGTGGTATGATTGCCAATGAGACAACTCTCCACTAGAGACAAAATGACATAGAAGTTAACAACTATAGGTCATCATACGGCCTTCAACAATGAGCAAAAAATGTTTATCTAGAAGTTGTAGAGTAACTGGCATGGGTATGTGTTATTGATATGAACATAGGAGTATACAATGCTGTTGCCCTGTTCTCAAACTGATAGATAATGAGAGATTAAATACAAGGTAGCCATCATGGTCAACACAACCAAAACAGCCAAAGCCATACTTGTTTTTACAGAAGTGGGTTAAAAATTGTTGCTATTTTGCACTAAAATGACAAAAGCATCAGATGACATTTATCCCATTAGTAAAGATGACCATCTACTGTAGTAGTGGGTACTGACATTTATGAAAAAATTAAATTAAGATACTTGAATTATTTGGGATCATAAAAGGAGAGAATATTGTCAGCTAAAGTTTTCTTGTAGGTTTGACCTAAAAAAAATGTGTATTGTAACCATTTGAATTTTTTTTCTCAACAGTTTGTAAAGTTGTAATAAACAATAGTGACTGCCACTACCATTGACACAGATTACTTCTTTTGTTTGATAATCAATGGACCACTTACATCAAGAGAAAATAAAGTAACATTTAGTGTGTAAAGTTAGGGTAAAAATAAAATTGAAAATGGTTTTAAAATTTGTTGACTATCAGATTGATTTATGTGTTTATAATGTGACCTAACTTGTCCTAAATAGAGAGGTTTTAAAACATCGAGGAACAATAAATCCTAGATTAGTAAGAGATAGGAATAAGTAATAGTTGTATTATAATGAATATTTAAAATGTGTTAAGTCAACAATTCAAGAAAAACTCAAGGAATAAGATAGCAACAATTGATTTAGAACTAAGACTTTATATAAGCATTTATGAATTTTTATTTACCATAATATTGTTGTAGTGTTTTAGACCCATTCATTTGTCAGTCTGCCATCTATCTGAATGTCATCACTATATACAATTTTGTAATAACCTTCAAAGTTGAGTGAAGATTTACTCGTTAATAATTTTAATTATATGAAATATCAGAAAAGGAAGCTTGGACAATGGTGGGATAAGAATGGAAGGACTTGTACAAGTACCTGTACATAGATAAGTACCTGTATAGAGAATGGGGAGTAATTTCTTTTCTTTTATATCTTGCACAAATGTATATGATATTTAAATTCTGTGCAGAAACGTAAATGGGTTTATGTTTTGTCCTATTTCCAAATCTGTGTCATCTTAACATATTTATTTTCCCTTGCCTCAGTATTCTTCTTCTGTATAATTATTCAGAAGACAGGCGCTAAAGTTTATGAATTTAATGTTGGTTTTTAATGATATATACATGCCCTTTAGCTTATTTTTCAACTTGCTAGCTTTGGTAGAAAGATATTTACGAATATAATGTATGCCCATGTTAATAGAATTAGCATAGAACATCTGCTACGATTAGAAAAAAGCTGAGTTTTACAGTTCTATGCCTAGATTTTAAGATTTATTTAGCTGAAGATGCATTTTTATCTACCTCTGTTGGAGCTGGTAATATTTCTTAACTTGTTATATAATAAGGACACTGAACAGGAGGGAAGTTAAAGTGACATTCTTTAGATTTCAATAAAATTTTCTGCATTGAAAAGAGGTCCTACATAATCACTTGTTAGATGAAATGTTTAATATTATTTAAAGATGTCTTGTCAGAACTTTTGACGACACTATGTAAAAACGTTTTATTTAGTCATATTAAATTAACTCGCCAAAATTCGATTAAATCTGTGAAAAATTTGTTTAACTTTATATCCTTTGTACAAACTTTGAAGTTTTAAGTAATAAAGACACTCTATTTATAAAGTCTCCTCTCAGATTCTAAATTCTTTTTTAAAACATATAAATGACACGGTCACAGTTTACATTTCATAATTTGAAATAGAAAGGAAAGATATGAAACTTAGAAGTGTATGATAAATGGCAGATCACCGCTACATTTGAGTGGTTTTCATATTTTTATCAGAATGTTGATGTTTAATAAAATATCTTGTCAATGGGCCGAAGACTTTTGATAACTCGAGGAACACGTAACTACAGGTATTTTGTTGATTTATCGCCATTTGATGACACCTAATTGAAGTTTTTTAGTTGACACCCAGAGGTTTGTAATATTCCTTTCTGGATAGATACATATATCGACTTGTGTTCAAAGTTTGAAGGATTCTACTATTGATTCATGCAGAGATATATCTTTATTTATGTGATAGACAACCGTCTTCGAAATTGCATAAAAACACATTTGTTGACATTTTATAATACACCTTGAAGTCATGAAAAAGTAAACACAGGATATTTGGAGATAACAAGAGAAGAGTTTGTAAATATTTTGTGTAGTGTCCAAATTCTTTTGTAAGAACAAAATGGAAGGAAATATTGCTACATTTAACAATGGTATGTACTAATGGATTGCTTAATTTCTTTTTAAAAAATTAGGTTATGGTACTGTATAAAAAATAATGTCCTCCTTATGAGTAATGGAATGATTTAGGTGTAACAGAATTTTCTACAGTCTGTTGCTTACTTCATTTTATTATTTTGTTATTTTACATTTCTTTTTATTTGTTGTTTATAAACTTGATAAGTTAAAAAAAATCAAATTTCTAAGTCATAAATTTTCATTTAGATCGAAATGAAAGTGAAGTGACTCAAAAAGTATTTAAATCTATTTTATTTACTGTAAATGCGTTCATTGACTCAAACCATGTTGGGTGTTATCCTTAATGCACAACATTACACACAGTTTTAACAGATTAAACTCACAAAATAGGATTATGTCTTATAATATAATGGATTAACTCCCTTTGTTATTCAATGACTAAATGATTAATTGGATATAAAAAAAACATAGCAGTGCCAATTGTTGTATATAATATGTGATATTTACATGGTTCTGTAATAACGTGTCAATCACCTCTAAAAGTTATATTGGGGTTTGATGGGAATATGTAGATTTGCTAATGGAATGGGAGCAAAATTGTCTCCAAAATTTGTATAGTGCTTAATTAACTTCCACCAAAAGGAAAAGATATGAAATAATTTTCTTCAAAATACTGCAGAAAGTAACGTGTCCATGCAGAGATGTGTCAAACTTAATAGTATTCTAAAAGTTTATTTAGAAATAAAATAGTGCTATATTTTTTACCAATTTCAGTCAGACAGTCAGATAATGGTTTCTTTACTCTCAGATTATAATTTAAAAAACTTGTTATTTTATGTCTTTGTTTAACTGGATACATAGTGATATATGATATTTGGTGTAAACTTGAGTTGAAAGTAGCATATATACGTGTAGATAACAATGAAATATGAGGAATAGTTCTGCTTAGTCAGTAATATTATAGTCAGGAATAACTAAGTGATAATGTTTACTTCAAAACTTTACTTTGGGGTACAAACTCCAAGAACATTCATACATTGGCTGTTTGTATGTAAGTATTTTGAAGTATTGAGTTGGTGTGTGGTTTTTGTACTAAAGTTTGTTCCTTCAGTTTAAGATTACTTACCAAATAAATGCTATAAATCACATATTTCTTTCTTTTTTGGAATATTTTCTTGAAAGCTCTTGTTAATACCTATTTTTCAGTGATCTTGTAAAAGGTAAACAAAATTTAGATGAGATGAAGAAAAATTTCATTTGCCAGAATGGAACTGATTTAAGTGTGCCCTGAATCCCATAGAATTGAGTTATGGGTTTTTTTCAAGAATATTTTGAAAATTTTTCCAGAGTTATGGAACTTGATTTTAGAAAAATTGTCATTTTAATTGCTTTTATATATAAATTCAAAGATGCTTATTCAGAAGTTTGTAAACTTTTTTACATAGATTGCTCATTGGAGGAGGGCATCAAAGCAAACTTAAAATAGCCTGGATTCCAAGGCTTCATGATTCTTTCTTTTTTATGAACTATAGTGACTGAGACAAGTTTTTCGTAGTTTAGTAGTTTCCTCAATACAGAAGTTTAAAGCTAAAGTCACAATTTTTTTACAAGGTTATCTTGATAATTTTTCCACCTGGATGATAAAGAATGAAATTTCTTTTTAGTGAGTTGAAAATATTTCTTCTTTCTCCTCGACCTTTTTTATACATAAACATTGCCGTAATCTAATGATACTGTGTTTTGAACTGAGTATTTTGACCTGAGTTTGTGGTTATATGAATGTCTATACCTTCCAGAAATAATTCATTTAAATCTATCTATTAAGTATCCCTATATAAAGGCGTATTGTTATGGTCCAATAATGATCACCTTTTCCTGTTATGATATTAGTCAAAATCATTCAGGTGTTTTAGTGATGCTATGATTCAGGCTGAACTTTCCTGTGGCTTATTTTATATGAACTAATTACTTTTGCTTTAAGGTAAGAACAAATTATTTATATATGATTTTCATGTAATACCAATTTTTCAACATCATTAATTATGATTTTACATTATACAACAATATTTAGCTGCTTCAGTAAGAAGAAGGTGTTGATCACAGTTCCATCTGTACATTAAAACATCATTATAAAATTTACATATTTAAGCAGTACCAGTATTCTTTGACTTTATAGTTTAAACTGAAAGTTATTACGTGCACAGTTTGATAATTCAGTACATTTCTGTAATTGCCTGTCATTTATGAAGGAGATTTGGTTCCATGAACATGGTTAATCACACCAAATTCTTTGGAAGCATTCACCAAATGAGGAATATGATAGTCAGTCACTAATAGTTCTGGTAAATTTTTGATTTAATTTCCTGGTTTCATTGGTCATCTTGGGTTATTTTTAAATCACGAATGGATCTAAGTGGGATATTTACAGTATTTTGACATATATAATAAGTTCAGCACCTTTTTATTTTGAATAAACATGTTTATAATTTGAAAATGTTTTTTTCTGGCAAAAATACCTTGTGAAAT